GAAAGTTACGAAGTCATGGCATCGTAGTATTCTTTCCCATAAGAACAATGGAGTCATCCCTCAAACTCTTCCTAATGTTTTGGAGCTAAAGGGACTATATACTAAAACGGGTTATAAGGGAAAACCCCGTATCTATTGTTCATCTCTTGTATAAATCTGTTACAAGGAAAACAGTTACGAGAAAGTTATAGATGTAATTCAAACACACGTAAAGTATTATTCAAAACTTGTTAGTTCAGAAATAAAAATTTGTCGAAGTTATTGCGAAAAACATGTGTGTTCCTATTTCTTTTATCGTATGATCACACCATTATGAAGTTGAGACGTCTTCTTCATTAAGTGTCAAAATATAAAAGAGCCCTATTTTATAAAACTCATGTTATTTAGTCATGGGATTAACAGAAGCATTTTTCAAAGAACAAAAATGCAGACTATTCTTTAAGTCCTTAAAAATAAAAAGGCAAGAATAGAACAGACGGAAGTTCAATGATAATAAAAACTTCTTAATATTTAAAACTAAAGACTAAGTATAAACTTAGTCATCACATTGTTTATACAAAATGCCCCATAACAAGACTTGGGGACTTGTACTTCTAAAAATCAACCCTCAAGTAATAACCAAGGGTTTGATTACAAAAACTCTCAAATGAACCCAAAAACTTTAAACACGGTTTTCCAAACAGGTACCTGCAAAAAGGAATTCAAAAACAGATATAAATTTTTTCACTAAGAGGAAAGGATTGAAGAAGGATCATCAGCGGGCTCAACTGGAACAACATCACCAACGGAAGTGGGTTGATTTCCGACCATTGGAGTATCAATAGATGAAGTTTCAACTTGACTTGCAATAAGGGGCACGGATGAGCTTGAAGAGGGTGCATCACCCGGGCAATTCCAGCGGTCATGAGGACTTCAACCGCAGAAGTTTCAGTTAAGGGAACTTCACCCACGGGAACATCAACTCCGATAGCTTCAGCTTCGAAAACTTCAATCGCGGGAGAAGGGAAGTCCAATGGTTGTTGAGATTTTTCAATAGTCTCCATCACCTTAGCTAACTCTGACTCCAGATTAAAGTTTTCTTGGCTGGCTTCAACTAAGGCATCACGACGGGAGTTCAGAAAAGCCCAGCTTACATCAACTGCAGCCTTATCTTCAAGAAGCTCATAATCTCTTTCCCAAGCAGCAATTTCATTTTTGAGACCCTCATTTTCATTCAGAGCTGAGTTATAAGAGGCTTGGAGAGAGGCATGAGATTTTTCTAAGGCCTTCACCTGGTCTTCAGAAGTTCGCAGATTTTCTTGGGTTTGAGTCAAATTCTGCATCAAATCTCCAGCATAAACTTCTTTTTGACTTAAAAGAGCTCTTAGCTCTCTAATCTCTTCACTTGATTTAGATAATTGTTCTGAGAAAGAAGACTCGAGACGCTCTCTTTCTTTCTCAGCCTGACTTGAAGAAGCCTTAACAACCGCAAGCTCTGAAGTTAATGCTCTCACCTGCTGTTCCAGGTTATTCTTACTCTCTTGTAAATCTTCTATTGTTATTTGAGCACTATCAAATTGGTCCTTCCAATTAGCTGCTTCCAACTGAAAGTCACGAGCTTCCCTCTTTGAATCACGTGCCACTCTTTTCTAATAATGAAATTCTGCTCATCAGCTCTGTACCAATAAGGTTGGCCTGAAAATGATAAGGAAAGAAAAATTAGAATTCTAGAAAAATTCTGGCAAAATTAAAGAAAGAAGGGGGATACCTTCAAGGTGGAATGAACTATGTCGTTCATCAGAGTCAGGCAGCTATGGCTATTCATTTTTTCTTTCTCAATTTGACCTATTAAAGGTTCAAGCCAAACATCCGCCTGACCGGATTTCCTCAAAAGGCTATTGTTAGCAGGCACTTCGATAGTCACGCTCCTCATAGCAATCCTTTTACTTGTAGAACCCGCTTCTATATTGTGGACAGTAGAAGGAGGAGCGGTAGAAGAAGAAAAAACAGCAGCGAAGGAACCAAAGGCACGGAAGAAGTTGGAGTAGATAAGGAAGGAACCAAAGGCACGGCAGAAGAAAGAAGGGAAGGAACTGAAGATATGGGAGTTGAAGAGGAAGATAGGGGAGGTTCATCCAAAACGGGTCCTAACTCGCCACTCTCAAAACCACTAATGAAAAGCTGGTTAATCGACTCATGAGTATCATGAGGGGTAGCAACATCATCATCAGAGACGAGATTAACAGGCCCGGTAGGAGAAAGATGATGAGAAACTTCAGCTTCGTCAGAGACGATACGTCTCCGAACTCTTGGCCTTTTCACCAAGGAACCATCCTCCTCTTCTTCGTCGGAGCTATCATCGTCTGCGGTTTTTCTTTTCAGAAGAATATCCTGAGCACTCTTTCTAAAGAAAGTTGGGTTCCTAAACGAGAAGCTGCAACTGCTTCAGCAGTAACACCTCGAATAGCAAAACCTGACAAAGAGAAAATTGAAAGTTAAGGCAATAAAGGGAAAAATTTTACATATGAGAAAGACAAAAACTCATACCGTGAGTCTTTACTTTCCAACCATGACGATTGGAAATAAATTTCCAAGACCTAGCCTCCATAGGAGCGATCTTCAACAATTTATCTACCCAGCCACGAAAATTGGGAATGTTCTCTACAACTCCCATGGTTGCTAAAAAAAAAGAGGAAACAAAGTTAAAGAAATTTGTAAATTCGAAAGAAAGAGGTACGAGAGAGATGAGAGACTTACGTGCAAAGTTCCACTTCTCATGGAAGGGAACGTTTTGTTCACCCACTAAACCAACTGTGGGGGCAGCAACAAATCGGGCATACCAGCCACGATCCTTATCATCTTCTGGGCTCACCAAAACCCTCTTACTCCTAGCCACTAAGGTAAAGACGCCATTACGAAAAAGTCTAAGGGAGTATAGATGAATTAGGTGGGAGAAGGTGAAATCAACGTTTGCCAAATTGGCCAGATGCCTTAAACAAGCAACAACCCTCCATACAAGCGGGCCAATCTGTGCTAAACAAACTTTGAAGAAACGACAGAAATCGAGAATTACTGGGTCGATAGCTGGTTTAAACCCAAGAGTAAAAGGGTATGTGTAAACGAAAGAGAGTCCAGTCATATATGAAGTAATCCTCTGATTTGGATTGGGGATTATAATGGGAAAATCGTTACTCCAGTGACAATCTTTGCGAACTATGGGAGCTAAAATTTCTGTAATCATAGTGGGGTAAGTATCAGCACGATCTAAACCAGAAATTTGGGTCTGAAGTGATTGTCTATCGTGCTGAAAAGATAAATCGTTAGGGACTATTTCTTCTACCAAGGGTTCCTGTAATGGTTCAGAGGCCTCCTTGCTCTTAGAAGATGATTTTTGAGTAAAAGAACCTCTAGTTCTAGAGGAAGAACCAGGTCTAGGAGAAGGCATGGCAGAACCACCACCACGAGAGGATCCTAAGCTACGAAGTCTCCCACCCCTTCTGTGTCTAACAGGGGCATTGGGAAAATTGTCTAAAATAGGAACTCTCTTAGGGTTAGGGTTCGAAGAAGACATGATGAGGAAGAAAAATAAGTAAACAGAGATGCGCACAATTCAAGTGTTCGAGGAAAAAGTTTTATGTGGTAAAAGGTAAAAGGAAAAATTGAATTTATACTGATGGGCGACCGTCAAAAGTAAAAATGCAGTAATAGAAGGATCACAATAATGGTAAGTGATACTTCATGAACAGTGGAGCCGAAAAGACAGCCTGAAAAAGTGTTGTAAACTGTGGAACCAATAAGAAGATGACATGAGTCTAAAGCATTAAATGAAAGTGATAATTGAAGCGTCAACTCTGTCAGAACATTAATGGTGACAAAAATTCTCCTTTAATGAATTCCACTTCCCAAATATTCAAACTGACGAATAAATGGTAAGTGGGGGGACTATCTGTATTGGGAAAAATTGTATTTATATATATATGGGTGACATGTCATGACACGTAGACTGATCAAACAGTCAAAGAATTAAGGTTGGTTAATAGACACGAGCAACAACAGATACGAGCAAGTTAAATAAAGAAGGCACGAGCAGTCATACAAATAATTCAACGCTCGTACCTATTCAAGACATTCAAAGGTTAAAGATCGAGAAGAGTCAAAGGAATGAATCTGACAGCAAAAAAGAGCCCAGATACAGCATTTAATGAGTATTAAATACTAGAAACGTTAGAGAATATGTATTTAATGTATATGATTGCATAGCGTAACATTTAAGGTCATTAATTACCCATAATTGTCTTATTATGGCAAATGTAAAGTCTGTATTCCCAAAACGACTATAAAAGGGAAAGTCACAAACAAAAAAGGGGAGAGACCACTGAAAGATACTTTGATTAATTTGCTTTCTGATTATATCATTTTCAAATCTCTTTCTTATATATTTTTTCCGATTATCAGTAAACCGAGTTCTTCTAAATTTAAGCTTTGACCTAAAATCTAATTTTCGGTTAAACAAAAGTCAATCAATATTTTGAGGATATTTTAGTCGTTCAACATTCGTGCTTTTATAATAATATAGATAGATAGATAGATATTGATAGATATAGATATAGATATAGATAGATAGATAGATATAGATAGATATAGATAGATAGATAGATATAGATTAATTAAGTTGTTCATCATTATTAGACATATATCAATATATTAAAGATTATGTATTTAGTTCTAGTATATTGAACGGAATGAAAGTATATTTCACGTGAAAGAAAAATTAGAAAATGACAAAATTAAAACAAAATATCGGTTCTATTTGGTTTGATTTGTATATTTACTAAGAAATTTAGATAATTGGTTTTGTTTTGCTTTAGATAAAAATTAAGTATTTTTTATTTAAAAAAAAGAAGAAAAACTCTCAAGAGCTTAACTAAATTCGAATTAACATTAATTCATGTCGTATTAAAGTTAAACACGAATTGAATTAAGTTGAACCTTTAATCAACTTCAAAGTACAGCATACATAAGAAACCACGTCACAAATAAATCATCAAATTAGTCTCCAAAAAGAACATCGAGAAGGCGAAACACCCTGTCTTCAACTCCCGAAAGAGTACCATAGACGAAAGCCTTCAACTTCGATTCTCACAATTTTGGACTCTCAGTCAATTGCTCATACAATCCAAAACGGTATAATGGTGCTATCGCAGCTGCACGGAGCGTTCAAAGGGACGGTAGAGAGAATCACAAGTCCTCGTACCGTCTCTGCTTTCAAAGAGAAAGGCGTTCTCAGCGTTAACGAGTTCGTTATTGCTGGCGATAATCTTGTCTCCAAATGCCCTACCTGGTCTTGGTAATCAATCTTTCACATATACCGTTTTTTCCAATTCTTGGCCTATGAGATTAGATCTAATTTCAGAGTATTTGTAATTTGTATGAGCTCATTATATTGCATCTAATTGTTATATCATGGTTCATTGTTCATTAACAGGGAATCAGGTGACCCTAGTAAGAGGAAGTCATATTTACCAGCTGACAAGCAATTCCTGATCACTAGAAATGGTACTTATCTATAACCATCATTCTACCAATACTTCTCATAGAATTTGATGTGTTTGGAGAATATATGAGCTACCTAGTGCATGATGACTTCATTCTTTACACTTAATTACTGCTAAATTTACACTTATTAGAATAAACCCGACTTAACTTTAAGCTAAATTCTGATCCTCTCAAATGAACCAAAAAACTAGGAAGTAAGTTTGTTGCATATGCCTAGTTTTAACACAGTTAATGTATCCATTGATTTCTGGGAATGTAAATATAAATTCTCCTTCATCAGAATCCAGAACTGATAATTTGTAATACTAACTTGTTAAACCTTTTTATGGAATTTCAAGAGCCTACAGGGAAAGGGAGGTTTAATAATCTTATAGGCAGGGGTGTTCATACAAACCTGAAAAACCGAAAACCAAACCAAACCGACCAAAAAAACCGATACTTTTTGGTTTGGTTTGGTTTTGGTTTTGAATTTTAAAAACCGATCAAATTTGGTTTGGTTATGGTTTTAATCAGAAAAAAACCGAACCAAACCGACTATAGGAGTAGCTATTTCAAATTCATTATTACACCTATATATATGTATATTTTTGTACAAAGTTTCAAAAATTTATGGTAAATGTTAATAGTTTGCATTTTTAGTATAGTTCTTTACCTTTACATTCTAATTTGATTGGTAGTTTTCTTTTGTTAAGTGTAAGAATTCATTTCGTGTTAAAAATAATATATTTTTAATTGAGTCCTTAAATTATTCATCGCTATTTAATTCAGTTATCATCAATATATCTTGATAAATAATAGATTTCTAAAAGGGCAATTGATTTGATAGTGTTACGTTGAAAATGTGGTCGCCGAAATATGTGTTTGGTAGTGTATATCGTATATTTAAGAAAAAAACCGACAAATAACCGAAAAAATCGAAAAACCGACTAAATCCGACATAAACCGAATCGAGAAAAAACTGACTTAATTGGTTTGGTTTGGTTCTAATATTTGAAAAATCGACTTACTTGGTTTGGTTTCTTTTTCGGGGAAAACCGATCCAAACCAAACCATGAACACCCCTACTTATAGGACAAACAAAACTTGACGCTTATGGAAAGTAGTCATGAGGATAGGAAACTAGACTAGTAACTTCATCTCCCCACTCATGTTTTGCTCAGCATCTTTGTGTTTCAAGCAAGCTTCTGATGGCCCTGGGAAGTAACCATGGGGTTAGGAAGCAAGACTAAGAACTGTATTGCCTAAGACATATTATGCACTGGATCTGTGTTTCAATCTGCTCCTATTATATCAGCTTAAGCATCTTGCTAATTGCTAAGGATATTCATGTCGCCTAATGCTATATCGTGTTCCTACCTTGCTCACTCACCTTCTCCTAGGTAACAACAACAACAACAAACCTAGTGTAATTCCACAAGTGGGGTCAGGGGAGAGCAATGTGTACGCAGACCTTACCCTGCCTTGTGAAGGTAGAGAGGCTGTTTCCGATAGACCCTCGGCTCAAGGAACAACAGAAAGGAAGCAACCAACAATAAGAACATCAAGAAAAAAGAAAGACACAACGTATAATAACAAAGATCTAGAAATACGAAATACAAGAATAGTACTAATACTACCGGTAAGAATGACACAACGTGTAATAAAAAAGATCTAGGAACAAGAAAATATAAGAATATTACTAATACTAGTGGTAAGACTGGGAGAAACTCTCGACTACCTATCAACCTTCAACTTTAATTCACGACCTCCACACCTTCCTATTTACTATTTAGGGTCATGTCCTCGGTAAGTTGAAGCAATGCCATGTCCTGCCTAATCACCTCTGTCCAATACTTCTTTGGCGTACCTTTACCCTTCCTTAGGCCCGACATGGTCAACCTCTCACACCTCCTAACCGGGGCATCTATGTCTCTCCTCATCACGTGCCCGAACCATCTCAGCCTCGATTCCCGCAATTTGTCCTCCACTAGGGCCACTCTCACCTTGTCTCTAATAACTTTATTCCTAATCTTATCTTTCCTGGTATGCCCACACATCCATCTTAACATCCTCATCTCTGCTACTTTCATCTTTTGGACATGGGACTTCTTGACTGGCCAACACTCAGTGCCATACAACATAGTCTGTCTAACTACCACTCTGTAGAACTTGCCCTTAAGTCTTGGTGGCACATTCTTATCACACAGAACACCAGATGCGAGCCTCCATCTCATCCACCCCGCTCCAATATGATGTATAACATCCTTGTCAATCTCCCTGCTGCTTTGGATAACAGACAATATTTGAAACTCTCTCTCTTGGGGATCACCTTCTGTTTTCATACTTATTAAGAATTTTGGCACCTCATCCTGGCCAAAAAAAGGTGGATGTCTGTATCTTGTAGTTTTCTTGGCCCTTCTTTTTGATATTCCATCATTCATAGACGTTCTCTAGTCGTCTTACAGAAACTAAAAAAAAAAAAAAGAATGTAGCACTTCTGTTATGTGCCAGTTTAGATGACGTGCCACTTTAACTTTGTATGCAGTTCCTTGTCTGAGAAGAGCTGCATCAGTAGAGGAAGAATATGAGGCTGCAGGAGGTGAAGTTCTGCTTGATAACGAGGACAATGATGGTTGGCTGGCAACTCATGGGAAACCAAAAGGTATCTGGTATATGTGTACTTCCCAATAACAAATTGAGTTTTATCCATTTTGCCTTGTGACAATTATGTCCCATTTATTTCTTAGAAAACAAAGGTGCTGAGGATGATAACTTGCCATCTATAGAAGCATTAGAGATCAGCAAAAAGAACTCTATCCAGTCAAACCCGTCGTACGTTGGAGGCGAGGAAGAGGAAGACATACCTGACATGGGAGAGTACGAGGAAGCTGACAATCTTATAGAAACAGATCCTGTAAGAAGCTGTCTCTATTTGTGTATGTATTTTAGTTTTAAGATCTGTATAATTAGTGATTAGTCGTAACAGCATACCATTTTATCTTGTATTTGATATTAAAAAGTCCTCCAATGGTTTTGTACAGAATCATGATCCACTATCTGTTTGCTATAGCAGTTCATGCTTTTCATCTAAAGTGCCTTGCTAATCTACATGACCTTTGATGATGATTTTGCTGGTGATCTAATTGAGAGTTTATAAAAAGTACTTTCATTTCATTTGGTAATTGTTCGCAGAAGTGTCACAATAAATACTCGTACAATCATCTAACCAACGAAATGGTTCTCGTTAAGACTTCTATGATGCTGACAGTTAAATATGTATCTATTCTACGAATAATAATTTTAGAAAGAGAAATGTTTAATGGCTACAAGGTGTTTTTTAAACAGCTGAATAGCCCCTAGGGCTTTGATCTAGTGGTAAGAGTGCAATGCGTAATGTGTGGGTCAAGTTCAAGCCCTGTTGCTGCCAAAACTTGGTATTTAAGGCGAGAAGGGTAGAGGGGCGGGTCCATTATCTACTAGGTTTCGAACCGTGCAACACTAGCGCTTGGGATTTCTCTATTATAAAAAAGGAAGAAGCTAATGGTAGATACCGATTACCGAATAGCTTAGAAGTGCAATAACTACAACAGTTTGCAATGAAGTAATTCACGACTCAATAGTGAACAATTGTTAGCATCTCCTTGCCCGCGTAAGGACCGGAGCAGGTGTACAAGATCTTAAAATAAGTTTATTGCCATAGGGAAGGTTTAATAACTCTCTGCTTTTCGAATCTTACTTGATAAAAAAATAAAACCTCCTTTCTTTTGTCTTCTTTGTCTCCTTTCAAGTTCATTTTTTCATGGTATAGATTCCAAAAGTTATGCAAGGGGATTCAGAAAAAATACTAGAATGTAACACTTGGGATTTGAAGCTGCGACGTAAAGCAATTTTTGAACCCTCTTTGCGACTATAAAAAATTCTTCCTTTATGTTAAGGGATTCAACAGCTCATATATAACTAAAAAATTCGTTTTCTTCCCTCTTTACCCAGTATAATTTTACCACCAAGGGGATTCAATTGAACCCGTTGGCTCTACATACCTCTGCCCCCTGATAATATATATAAGAAAATTTTATGGTGTAGATTCTCTACTTTTTGGGATACTGCCTTTATGTGTATACGGGAGATTTTCTCATTATTAATAAAATTATTTACCTTATCGATATGTATGTTTGTATGTATATATGTGTTTATATGTGTGTGTATATTCTATTTGATACAGTTATATGTAAGAAAATTCTGTTTATGCTTTCTGGAAGCTGTCCTATCTTTCAGTTCACTGACTATTAACTAGCTTTCCATTCTTTTCCAAAATAGAAGAAAAAGAATACTTTGCTCTGTGCTTTGTTCTGGTACAAAGTTCAATTTGGTTGGATCTCAGTAAATTCTCAGCTTTGAGATTATTCCATCTACATACAATACCTAAATGGTTAACATCTCATAATTTCTTGCAGGCTACCCTTCAGACTACATATCTTGTGGCTCATGAGCCTGATGATGACAACATTCTAAGAACACGAACATATGATATCAGCATCACGTAAGTGAGCTTCATTCATTAGATTTTGTATGTTGGCTATTTCATGCGCTTCCCATTGAAGAAAAGTATATATTAAGTGTTTTGACAGATGTCCATCTGTACTTTTTGCAGGTATGACAAGTACTATCAAACGCCTCGTGTATGGCTCACTGGATATGATGAGGTCAGCCACAATAAAAATTATAATTGCCTTAAATATATAATTGCATAATGACTACACTTTCGACTTGTGATTATGATGGAAATAGTTGCCAGATGGTCTGACATATTCATGAAACAAACAATTTAGTAACCATACAGCTGAAGAAATGGATAATACAACTAGAGTTTACCTAGATCTTTTGGTTGTCTCTTTTTTTTTTTTTTTTTAGGAGTATTTTAAATAGGTTTACTAATGTACTTTTGAGAGTGTTGGCTTTACTCCTGTTACCTCAGGTCAAGGACTGTCAGCTTAAAAAGCTGACGATGCCATTTATGTTATTCTTTCTGATATCACTTTGTATATATGTTTGATGAACTCAGATCTTCTGATAGTGCTTTATTCTACATTTATTTTCCTCTTATCCAAATATGAATAAGGTAATGTTTTGTCCAACTTAAGTCAATTTGAGACTTAGCATTGAGGTTGTTTTTCTTCTTTATATACACAAATTATACTTTGGTTTATTTCGCCATAATTTTCTGTGCAAAATATGCATTGTTCTCCTTATTCTAATTCTATTTACAATATCCAAGATCTGCACAACGATGACATTGTGAACAATGACATTTTCCACTTGTTGAAATTATGGAAGTGTCTTATTTTTAAGGTTCTTAATAATATCCACTGCATGAGTATTATACTACTTGTGCTTTTGGAGAAAGACGATTCTCTTTCTTTGTTAGAACATGCATTCCTGGTCCTCGAGGAAAACATCATGATCCGATTGCAACACAGTGAACTATTCTTGATTTTTTGTGACAGTCAAGGATGCTTTTGCAACCAGAGCTCGTACTTTGAGGATGTCAGTCAAACCATGCACGCAAAACGGTTGAGACACATCTTTTAGGTCTAAATGCTACTTGGAGACGAGCTTTAAATAGGTTATTCCATTGCTGTAGTTTGGTTTGTAAATGAAGTTACAGTAGTTAGGCTCCAAAGTATACAACTGTACAACACATGCAAAGTTGGATGATTACTCCTTTTGACTAATTCTTTGAGTAGTTCTAACAAGACAGTATTGCCGTTTGCTCAGCCAGTCTCAGACTGTGCATTATTCAGTTATAAACGATTGGAAACTAACCAAATGAAATAACTTATTATTCATTTAGTTCTTGATAAAAAAAACTTCAGATTATTCATTTAGATATTTCAAAATTCCATTCATTTCAATTTTAATCTATGAAATGATCAGTATTACAATGTGGGTTTTGAAAAATTATCGCGCGAAACTGTATGAAAAACTGATGAAATAGAACATTCTGTCATATCAAACATGGGTTGGTAGTTCGGTTATAGGTGGTTATTTCTTCCTTGCTTAATTGGCATCTGGAGGTCTAGTCTCAAGCGCATGCATTTTTTATTCAACTTATCAACTTTTCTATTGTTTTAATATCATTTTAGTTCTTTTAGTTAAATTAAGATTTTGAAGTAAAAAACTAAATGTTGGCATAATTTGTCAAAAGTTTATTGTTTATATTTTTACTTCCTTCTCCCACTACAACCACTTGCCATCTTCCTTGTGCTCAGATCAGTGCTGTCTAATTGGATTGGCAATGAACGCTCACTCAATCTCTCTCTCTCTCTCTCTCTCTCTCTCTCTCACTCTCTCTCTCTCTCTCTCTCTCTCTCTCTCTCCAATTCAGCCATTTCCTAAGAAATACAACTGAAATGAGGCCTGAGAAATGGTTTGTTTTACATATTTTGACCAGAATAACTTTTTTCAAAGGTTCATTTCTTTCTGGTTCTTAGACATAATAGAGCTTGAATGCTTGCTTTGAGTTGATACATATTATCTGTGAAGAACATCCAGACTTCTGCTTGAGATTTTCTAATTTTCACCCAAGCTATTGCTTGATTTTTGAAAAATTTCCAAAACTGATTTCGCGAAATGGTAAAAAACCAAATCCATTTGGTACAAACTGAACCCACCAGTGACACTGTCGAGGACAGCAGTGGCCATTTTAGCTGACCAAAATATTTGTTAGTGAACCAAGTTGTAGATGGCAACTGAACAACTGAATGGGCCATCACACAGATTATTAAATTTTCTTTTTTCTAACCCTATATATTTCCTTTTTAACTGCAATTATTTTGAATGACGATGTTCATTTTAATCTTTGTTCCCAACATCGTTAACTCAGGTGACCATTGAAGATCATCCACATCTTCCAGGGAAACATGCTTCAGTACATCCTTGTCGGCACGGGGCTGTGATGAAGAAAATTATTGATGTTCTCATGTCGCGAGGAGTTGAGCCTGAAGTTGACAAGTAAACTCTAATATCTCATGTAGTATCGTTGTGTTTTTCAATCAGCAGTATGCATATTCACACTCATATATTACCTGTCTGAATTCTAATTTGGTTATTTGGGGATACTTACAACTCGTAGATGTATTTATTTCTGAAGTTAGCATGCACATGAAAATTTTGTTGTTACATATAAAAGGGCTATACTATCTAGCTACAATGATATGGAGATTTTGTTCATTTTGTCATATAATTTTTTAAGGAAGTTGATGCTTTGACATTCAAATTTTAGTGATACAATGGTGTCTCCCCTGAAAGTTGTTTAGCTTGCTGTATTGATCTAGGAATTTTTCTTTATAGTTCGTCTGTCTACCATGAGAAGGTTTCATACAGCTGCAGGATCATATTTTAGCAACGATAGACACGGTAGCAGAATATACAAATGGAAATTCATATGATCAGAAACAGAGTACTTGCTTTATTAAGAAATCTTTAGCCCTTTTATCGGAAAAAATTATGCACTATAATTATGATTTCTAGTCTTCGTCTTGACATGCTTTGTAGAACTGTGAGACATTATTTTACCCCATACCTTCTCGATCTAGCTTTTACTAGTAACATCAAAATTTTCATTACAAATGTAGGAGTATAATACTGACATCAATAGTATAGTTGCAAGCAAGAGTTTTTAACGATACTCTTCTAGTTCTAAAAAGCAATGTAGCTCTTGTTTCATTGACACCACATTTTTTTCTACATTGTTTCATCATTGCATATTAGAGAATATCAATCGATCAATTAACTGTGTCTCAATCCCAAATAATTGGCGTCCGTTATGTGAATTTTCTATATCTTTGCCCTTCTATTCAGTTCAATTTCATTCCAATACTAAGTTTACAACAAATTAGGACTTCTATAAATTTTACAGTTATTCCTATATGGTTTACTGAGTTAAATTACATGGATTCTTTGGAAATCGTGTTATGTTTCTTTTTTTTGGTTAAATATCTATTGATCCAGAGAGATTATAGCTTCCATGTAGTTTTTGGTCTATCTTGTTTCTTTTATGACCTTCATTCATCATATTGTCACACACTCACAGCATTTCGAGGTCTACGTTGGACATGATCAGACAATCTAAACCAAATCTCATTTTATCCTGTGTGCAACTTGCACCATCTGCCAAATGTAATTATTTCAAAGCTTGTTCAATTCTGCATGACCCGACATCCAACTTAGCATTTCCATTTCTACAACACTCATCTTGTGGATATATTAGTCCCTAAAGGCCAAACATTCATTCCCATTAATTATTGTTGGTCTCACTATCGTTCTATACGGATTGCCTTTCATCTTTGTAGGTATTGTTCTATCACATAACAATATTGTGACACTATTTCTTTGACTGAGAGATCCCTTATGGGTTAGCTGGACAAGCCCTGGTTAGCATACAAGTCCTAAAATTAGCTGAGCCTGAATATTTGCATTGCTGCATTTCGGTGCCACAATCCATCAAATCTCACTTTATCATCATTAGTATGATTTATGGGGAGTGCACTCTCAGTGCATACACTCTTATGTCTACTTAACCTAAGGTTACCATCTACGGTGTTTCTCAATAGTCCCACCTGTAGCCACAGAAAGGAAGAAATAAACTCAATGGTAATGATTGTGATGATCTTGCTCTAGCCACTGATTCTTTCTTTATCCTCAAAGTTGAGCAGGTTTCATGGGAGTAAAATGTTGCTTGTTTGTAGACCTGAGATTTGAGACATATTTGGCGTAACAATAGAAACACATGATGTCCTTAATATGGATCTCCTTTTAGTTTTTTTACTTGCATGTGCTTTTTGTCTCATCCTGGATGTTGATCTCAAGCACCATTGACAGGTACCTCTTCCTATTCTTGAAGTTTATGGCTTCCGTTATTCCAACAATTGAATACGATTACACCATGGACTTTGATCTTGGTAGCAGTAGCACCTGATTTGCAGGCAACTTCCTTCGGTTAGTATATTATGCGAATCTCTAAAGCTTAACATACATCAGAAATAGCTTTGTCCTCTCTATTAGTCAATTAACCTTGTAAGGCTTTTAGCGGAAATAGAGATCTCCATGCCCGTGAGCGCATGAGTCGTCACTTTTTCTGGTCTACAGAGGCGTATAGTAGGAAAAAGGAGCCCAACTCAAGTGGTCTACAGAAAATCACAGGCTTTGTCCTTGTTATTATTTCAAAGATCTATCTTCTATGGAAATTTTTTGGGGAGGTTTATTTTCTTATTCTCTTAATCTGCGCTGTTTCTTTTTCTCTTTCTTCTGGAAGAGGCGATGCAGAAATGGTGCTTTCTTTTTCTCTATGGCTTGGTAAGACGACGATTATAAATGTTACCTTCTTCAATCTCTTTCCTTTGTTTTATTTTTTGTATTTCAGATAGATGCTGCACGTAACATGTCAAGCACCAATTACTCTGATGACGATGCATCTGTTCGTGTCATGATCAGTGATAATTGTACATACTGTTTATAGACTTCCTTCTAGATAGGTGGTGCATGCATGATGAATTGTCAGCAATCCTTGTTATTGTATATTGACAAGAAGATTTAAAGGTTATTTTGAGATGTGAATTTGCCCGATGAAATTGTTTATTAATGCCGTCTTCAAAAGTTAACTGAGTGAAAGCAACGAAAAGAATCGAGCCACCTTCTAAGTGATGGTTCTGTTTTCCGTATTTATATTTATTGTTTTCTATTTATTAAAAAGCACTCTCTCCCTACTACACTTCAGTTTGGACTCGGGACTTAGCATCGAAGTCTCCATTTAACTCTCCCTCTCCACGGTTCAGAAGGAATGTCCAATAAAATGGTAGTATACCTGAAAAATATCTACTTTCTCAACTGACTAAAATCTAGAGGAGGAAAATCTTAATAGAATATGGAAAAGAAAACGACAAGTCGAAGGCAATAAACTATGAAGATGTATTTATTATTCATATTTTTAAGTTAAGATTAAACAAAAGGATTCGCAAATAAAAGTGCTAATACTATAATCAGTCCATAAATTGTATAGATATTCGGCTTAGACTTCTTTTCCGCCTATTGCTACTTGGCTAGATGAAGCGCTCAAAAGTCAGTACTATCAGGTCATTTAAAAGAAACTTTTATTTTGAAAAATAAAGGGAACAATCGGTTATGGAAGGTAATGTTATATATATAAAAATTATATTGTCAATGAATTAAAGTTGAATCCCTTAGAAATGTCATTCTTTTGCAACATCTAAGTGTCTAATACGTACAACACAGTGATAGGCCTAAAAATAACCATTATGTTTATGCAGAGTTCGGTGATCTCCCAAGGAAGCGCTCTTATAATTTCCTACCAAATTCTGTTCGAACATTCTCTCGTGTACTTCTTTTTCGTTCATACACCAAATAACAAAGATAGCCAGGAGTTTTATAGGATTTAGGATCGAAGTTATGGTGTGGAATTTGACAAAACAAACTTACAAGAAGGATACTTTGGATGACGAAAGAGAAATATATTTAAAAGATAATGATTTTATGTGGTTTATATATGATCATTAAACTTACATTTACACGTGAAGAAAGAAGTAATCTAAGATATCACATGCAAAAAGTATTTCAAAATTAGAGATACCCACTTACGAACAAATTCTTTACAGAATTATGCTGATGACAAATGAATTCGTTACTTATTATTTTTGACGTGGAACGCTTTCGAGTTTTCAGAAACGTCTAAGGCCAACACAACAACTTTCAAATAGTTCTTGACTTTACGCTTGACGTCCGAGTTGGACAGTATTGAAACCGCCTCTCTCTCTCTCTCTCTCTCTCTCTCTCTCATAATCTTTCCTCTTTCTCTATTTTTCAATTTTAATTTTGTGTTTCCTTAATAACGATTCTGATCAAAGTTTTCGAATTTACGCACTAGCTCCGGTTTTCATACCTGCATTCCACCACTTTCATCTCTGTGATTATTCTTATTTGATTTTATGAGATTACTATAGATATCATAAGTTTTCTATTTGAAGCTTTATCACTGGATTTTCACGTGAAATTTGAATCTATTCCTTAAATTTCTAAGAACGCTCCATTCCGTGTGACCTCTTCTATTTTGAACTTTATGATTAAAGTCTATGCGTAGCTATCATATACTAGCACAAAAAAAGACTAGCAAGGTTCTCTAAATATCACTCACTCTTATAACCCGATAGGTCGTTTTGAGTACTAGCTTCTCTTTCTGTGTTACAAGACCTTTCATAGCTCAATTTGGTAATTTTTGACTTGCGTGCGTGGTCCGTGTCGATTTCCGGAAAGTTTATATGTGAATTTTTTAAGAAAATGTGGTTTTTGACTTTGAAAATAGCTAGAGCAGACCACGGTCAGCGTTTGGGGTAAACTACCCCGGATCGGTGTTTTAACGATCCCGGTAAGTTTATATGATGATCTTGTACTTGTACGCATATTTGGTTGGGGTCCCGAGTGACCCAAGGCCGTTCCGGCGCTTTATGTGAAAAGTTAGAAAATTGAGTTTAAACTTTGAAAATCTTGAGTTTTAATGATCGATTCTTGATTTTGGATGTTATTTTGATGATTTGAGCGTGCAAGCAAGTTTGTACGATGTTATTACACATGTGTGGATGTTCGGATTGGAGCCCAAGGGGCTCGGGCGAGTTTTGGATGCATTGCAGATGGTTTTGGCATAACAGATAACTACCGGTGTTCTTGGTCTACATGTCTCGCATTTGTGATGACCTGTTTGCTAATGCAGCGTTGCTTTTGCGAAGTCAGGCTCGCATTTGTGATGACTGGGAAGGGGCTGGGAACTTCACTTTTGCAAAGAAACTGTCGCATTTGGGAGATAAAGGGTATCGTAATTGCGGCGTTTGTGTCGCATTTGCAACACTGATGGGCTGAGGCACAACTTCGCTTTTGTGAAGTTTGGTCCGCTTTTGCGAAGATAGGGACTTTCGCAAATGCGAAGGGTGAGTCGCATTTGCGATAACTATAAGGCCCAGGCACTGATTGAAATTGCAAAAGTTTGATGGATTTGAACATACACGTTCAGTTCCTTTTTGTAATGAACTCCTCTAAATTCCCGTCTAAATAAATGTACCCTGTTTAGCACCAAAAAAAGGAGGTGCACCTTCTATCCTTTAGTTAGGAAATCAATCCGCTACTCTTTCTTCTTTTAAATTATATTTGAATTAATAAATCGAGTAAATCCCCATACCTTTGTCGCTTTTTTTTTTTTTTAAAATTAAGTACACTTTTTTTCTTTTTATTGGTTACGCGTTTTCTTTTATTTTTTCCTTCTCTTTCTTTAATCTTTGTTTTGCCTTTTAAAATTCCTAAATCAAAAATCCATCTTTTAGACATCCTCTCGGAAACTCGGGTCTCTAGCGTTCATGGTGCAACCTTGCTTTTAAAATCCTAGATACGCCTATATATAACAATTATATTATCTCCTTGCCTACTAACCCTTTGATATTTGTTTATTAACCTAGGTCCCAAACATAGTTTGGCAATTTATCATCCATGTCCTCCTATAGGCTAGTTATGTTCATAATACATTCACTGCTAGAAATGCGATGCGTCCTCCTTGAAAATCCACATAGAATCTTTAAAATTTTGTATGATACAGTTCATCATAGTTCTTGCATTCCTATTATTTGCACTTCCTTTTCCATAGGCATCAAAGTATTTAGCCTGCGAACTGAAGGTAGGCGGAAACCTTCGCTTAAAGCAAACGGCACATATTTTTGACTTTTGGGCTAGATCAAGAGATATTGCTCTATACATGTGAACAATAAAGTTCGTATCATATCAAATGGAGTATTGGAGAACATATCTTTGGCTGAAACTTAGTATTTTAGCAGATATTGAAGAACAATAATTTTTGGCTGCTTAAATATGCTGTAAGGAAAATCAGTAGATAATATTGACTAAGAACAACAAGGAAAGAAGACTACAACTTATCAAAAATACTGTGTCGTGGCAAGCCACTGCCTTGAAAGCGATTTCGGCCGGACTGGGTGCAAATCGTTAAGGCCGGTCGCTCCCCAAGGTTCCACAGCACCTCCAAACACGTGCACTCGTGGCTGGAAGTTCAGAATTTGCACAAAACAGTTGCCCAGGAAGAAGAGAAGATGAAGGTATTTTATGTGTTCGATAATTCACAAAGAAGACTAGGAAGAAAGGAATGATTAGCTAGATGTATTCTTGGTTAAGAATTGAGTGATTATGATGGCTAATTCATAACCTATTTATAGGAAATTAAGGAGGTTGCATGTATGACAAGTGTCGAGAGACTTTTGACACTTGTCCCATTATGTTAGTCCACTTGGCTCCAATATTGACAAGTGTATCTTGTCTTCCATGCATGAAGACATTTGGCTCCAATATTAACAAGTTTATCTTGTCTTCCATGCATGAAGACATATGGTAGATTTGCATAGCCATTTGTCAAAGCCATTCAACACTTGGCTTTAAGACTTCATGCAAGAGGCCACTTGGAAATAGATAGGACATTTTGAAAAATAAAAAACTTATGGCTATTGGTTGTAAATGGAATTTCAAAAAGAAATTTTTGATTTTGCATTATGAATAGTTCCAACAATCCCCCACTAATGCAAAGACAAAAATAGAACAATTTTGGTCAAAAGAAGGAACATGTACTTAAGTGTCAATATCTTTCGATTTGAATTGATACGTAGTGAAATGAGGCAACAACTAACATCCACAAAGTGAAGTACTCTTGAACTGAATGGACATTAGCTGAGACCCCCACAACACATATTATATCTTTAATTTTATGCAAATTCTGCGGTACTAACAAAGTGCTTTTATGGTCATGCACATACCTTGGGTCTCATTAGTGCTCTAGAAAGGCATCCCAAGTCTTTCATAAAAGGCGACCGCACCTTTACACTCACGTAGGTGATTCCATCAAGTCTATCTACACATAGACTACCTTAAGGCTATGGAATCATTAAGAGCACAATAAGCTCAACCTTATAAAGCACTACCACACCCCATAGGGATAGGAAATGTAATGCATATTGAGGTCTCATATGGTTTCGTTTGACCACAAACGGGTATCCACCATTCTTTCTCAATCCATGGGCTTTAGCCCCATCCCCCTTGACGTTTCAAGGATAACTCTCCTTGCCAAATCCTTGGTTAAAGGATCCGCCAAATTTCTTTCGGATCTTACATATTCCAAGGAAATAACACCATGTTTCAACAACTGTTTTACCGCACCATGCCTAATGCGGATATGTCTTCTTTTTCCATTGTACACACTATTTTTGGCAATTCCAATTGCTGCCTGTGAGTCACAATGTAGAGAAACTGGTGAAGCTTGTCCTCCCCACAAAGGCACGTCTGCCAATAAGTTTCTCAACCACTCGGCTTCTTGCCCTGCCAACTCAAGAGCAATGAATTCAGACTCCATAGTAGATCGTGCTATACAAGTCTATTTTGAAGACTTCCATGAAATAGCACCTGCACCCAAAGTGAACACATAGCCACTAGTGGAGCTAACTTCATCATTGTCAGTAACCCAGTTTGCATCACAAAATCGTTCTAAAACAGTAGGAAATTTATTAAAATGCAAACACCAATCCATAGTACCTCTCAAATATCTTAGCAAACGATGAAGAGCATTCCAATGTTC